TCCAGCCCAATTCCTCAATTTTTTTCTAGAGTGATTTTCGCCACATGTGGATGAGCGTTGTCGTGGATAAATTTTGTCGACGTCGTTTCGACACTTTGAAGACGCAGTGCTGGATCCATGCGGTTCAATTGGTGTTTGCAGATGTCCGCCGTAACCGTCTGACCCGATTCCGGAACTTCAAAGTACATCAAACCTTTGCTATTCCACCAAACACGGAGCATCACCTTTTTGCCGCGTATATCAGGTTTCGGAGTCCGTTTTGGAGGGTCACTGGAGTCTAACCACTGTCCTTTTCTCGTTGCGTTATCGAAGCAGACCCTTTTCTCATTTGATGTAATAATAGAGTCGAAAAAACCGCTGTTCTTGGAGCGACGAAGAAGAATTCCGGCCATTGCCACTCGTGTTGCCTTGTTTGCGTCGCTCAGCTGGTGCGGCACCCGCTCTTCCCAACTTTTTTTCCCCAAAAAAAGCAAAGTAGACATGGACAAAAATATATCAAAAGAAGCACAATAAAAATCTCTTTCTAATAGACAAAACTGTCTCCAAAAATCTTCTATAGTAGGAGAGAAAAAAATGGACAAGTTCAAAAAATTCAACGCGCATTCCTTTCCGGACAACCTAATATTTCTCAAAAATCATTAAAATTAGGCGTGAGCTGGAGAGTACGGTACGCAAAGAGGGCGCAAGTGGTATAAAATTGCGTCGCAGCAGCCCATTCCTACGTCTGCGTAGCTTTGTTCCCCCTCATCTCCCCATCACACCTACCATCTTCCTCAACTATTAGCTCGCCTTTCTGAGTTTTTCCCAGGAAAGCTTTTTCCCTTCTTTCACTGGGTAAGAAAAAAATGAAACCTAGCTGCCATGCCCAAATTGCAGAATGAGAGAAGCTTGAGAGTACAGTATGGTCAAATGGCTAAAGAAGTGAACTGAAGACAGTCCCGTTACTTGTCGCAGAAGAACTACAACACGATCAGAGAAAAACCGGTTTCACCCCATCTGACACTAAAAGAGTATCCGAAAAAGGACAGAAACAATTCGTATAATTTTGGAAAAAAAAAGAATTTATTGAATATCCATCGTTGACTGTCTAGAAATAATTCGTTTCATACATACACGAATGGATGTGGTCAACCGCTCCGCATCAAATCATTACATAAACAAAAAATGATGTACAACAAGTACAGTTAAGCTACGAAGTGAATTCAGAAGTCGAACATGCATACCATAAAGCAATGGATGGTACAAGTAGTTTTAGACAAGCAGAAGTTGCACACAAACGGTACACATGCGGGTTTCCAGAGAAAAATGAAAAACGAAAGAGTCACCAATTCGAAAGACCCGGTTTATTGAGGGTCATGAAGTAAATCTGGCAAGATCCGCCACCTTTCGCCGAAGAGAAAAACACCTTGTCATTGCGCTCACAAAGGAACTTCAGTTTCTGGGCTTTCTTATGCATGAAGACACCGTCCAAGTGACCCGTGTCAACAGAACGGATTTCGATAGCCTTGTTTCCCCATCCCATAAGTTGTCCAGTTGATATATAAGCAACGCTACTAGGCATTTCGCCCCACTGTAGCACTACATTCTTTGACATTTTCCCATATGTATTTACATACACGCCTTCATTGTCGTAGCAGAGCAGCAACTGCATGCCATTACTGTTCGGCAAAACTACAATACAATGTGGAACCATATTATGCTGTGGATTTGACGGAGTGTAGATGTCGTATATGGCAGCAGAGTCGAGGTCAATAGCATGAAAACCTTCACGTGATCCATAAAGAACTTTCAGGCGTGCGTTTTCCTCCACAGTCAAATCAACGATCAGTGGTACATGAGATAAAGATCCAAAGGACTTGAAACTCATAAACTTGTGGTAGGGTTTTGGAGCCCATGCGTATATTTCAATGCTGTTCTCCAGGCTTACCACGAGGAACTTAATACGCTCATAGCGAATAATTTTGAAATGAACAGCTCCCTGGAGATCGCCGACGTTGACCCAACCGTTTCGTTTCTCTGCTGAACCACCAGAAGCGGAGCCCTCTGTCCTCAATATTTTTTGCTTGAGCCAGCTCAAGTAATAAACCCTTATTCTCCGCTTTCGTCCAGAAATTGTGATGAGTATATTCTGTCCCTCCAGCACGGTCATTTGTTCGAATCGTCTTCGGCTTATTAATTGGTAAACTTTTCCTTGACCACTTCGATCTAACAGCATGAGCCCTCCGTCAGTTCCTATGAGTAGGTTCACACCCCACAGAGCTGCACACAAAATTTCTCCGCTAAACTTCTTCTTATATTTCCTAATTTCAGGAGCGTCTGATTCCAGTTGAGTTCCATTTTGAGAGCTCGGATTAACGTTGACCTCAACCTGACTCGCATCCTTCGCTCTACCAGGGCGATTCACAGTCCCTGTGCTCGGACCTCCAGTTCCAAAGAAACCGACGAACGATTTTTCACGATCTCTCGAAAACAGCGGCTGTTGGTGATGAGAGATCTTTGAACCATTCGAACAGGAACTAGTTGTTCCAGACAATTCTTCAGTAGAGCCATCACATAATCTACGGCTATCCATCTTGTTCAGTTCACGTGGTTTCGGCAGCAGATCCGGCAGAGCTAGTGGCCCACTCCCAAGTAACGGTGAAGTAACCGCCGGCACAACAGGATTCAGTCCAGTTCGTTGACGCAAAGAAGATCGAAGTTCATGGACATCATCATCAGTACCAGATGAGCTCTCACCAAGTCCAAATTCAGGAGCAGCGATCGCGGATGTTTGATCTGGCATACTTGCAGCCTTTACCATGTTCGAGCAAGATAAAGCATTACTATCCCTCTTAGGGTGCAGAAGAGTGTCTTGAGTGCAGAAGTTCATCGGAGGAGAATTCCCTGTTGGTGTGGGAGGTAGAGGTTTGTTCGGACCACGCAGAGTTCCCCCAATAGACTCATCATCTCCATCGGTAGCACTAACAATAGACGTGTCACGTGGAGGGGGAGCAGGAGGAGGTGGTGATACGCCTTTAGGAGTACCCGTGGTGAGGCCGATCTGCGACAGCTCACAAGCTAGTACATCCAAGTCCTCAGGTCTCGACTGTTGATGATGCAATACAGGTTCGCTAAGCTTGCGTAACGGAACAGCGGTGATATCAGCTGCAACACGAGCCTTTAGCACTGCACCCTGGTGGCCTCCTATTCGTTCCTTTGCGACGCTTCTGTCTCTTTCCTTGCGCTCCTCACGATCTGACTGCCTTCGACCGTAGTGTGCCACATCAAGATGAGGTGCAGCAGGATGTGACCGCTGCGAAGACCTCTGATGATGACTAAATGGTCGCTGTCGTCTTTCAGCATCACTCTGAATGTCGCTTGCCTTCGGGCGAGTCACCGCAGCTTGTGCTCGCATTTTCACTTGATCCTCGCGATTCCGTCCATCCACACCAAATCTGTACACATGGTGATGGGGGTTAGCAGTGGGTAGACGCTCATTAGGAACTATTCGCTTCAACTGTTGAGCGCCAGCATGTTCGAATGCCTCTCGACTGGCTTCTTGAATACGTTGGAATCCTTTGCGCAATGTGCTGCTATCTGCAGGTATCATGGATGCCGCTTCAGAATCGTCGCGATGAGAAGGCGGCTTTATGGGATTTGGTTCCTCATCGTCACTGCCCGAATATTCGTACTCCGTCTCATCTTTTTTATTGAGACGACGATATCTGTCAATGTGGTCCTTGATAGCAATCCGTATGCTTCGTTCAGGTGGCTGCTCCTTAATAAATGGATGCCGTAGGAGCTGGTCCGTATACGGCCGTTGCTTGTAATCCTTTACGAGTACGGTTTCGACAAACGACTCAAACTTCTTCGACCACTTTTTTGTGCGTTTCAACCTTGGTGGAGGATTACGAGGTATAAGAAAAAGTGCACGCATGGGGTGCATATCGCATAGAGGTGGATGTCCCTCTGCCATTTCTAACGATGTTATTCCAAGCGACCACAGATCGGATCTCGAGTCATATGTCGCTTCAGGGTTTTCGTCGCAAGCAATCACTTCAGGAGCCATCCAATATGGAGTCCCAATGAACGTATTTCTTCTTCCAACAGTTTTGTCCAGTTGAGCAGAGACGCCAAAGTCCACAAGTTTCACCTCTGCACTATCCGTCAGAAGAACATTCTGTCCCTTTATGTCTCGATGAATAACCTTATTTTGATGAAGGTGGTAGAGACCCCTGAGAATTTCTCTGCATATATAGGCAATCCAATCTTCCTTGATAGACGATGCTTTGCTGCTTTTCACAAGGTCTGTGACTGATCCACTTCCACAAAACTCCATGACTAGCCATAACTGGTCGTGCTTCCCCGTGGATGAGGGAAGTTTCTTTATGAAGGCACCGTAGTACGTAGCAATGTTGCGATGATAAGAGTACTTTTTCAACATGTTTATTTCAAGCTTAATCTCCTCCTCTTCATCCTCATTGATGTTCATTATTTTGATAGCAGCTAGTTGTGCTGTTTTGACATGACGACCCTTGTAAACTTGACCATAGGTTCCATTACCGACAACCTCAATCAGCTCGAAAATTCCGGCAGGATCCCTGAGCGTGTTTAGGTCAATTTCGTCGAGCGCCTCACCGGGGTTGTGATCCATGTCGACGATGAAAAATCTTGCGAGATGCTACCTATAAGCTCAAACTTGGGTAATTAAATAATTTCCGTACTTCAATATTGTATATCCAAAAATAACTCACCGATCTACTGTGTGCTCATCAAATGAAATGAGTATATAAACCAGTTGCTTCGGTGTGTCTCACTTTTGCATCTTCAATAAACATTCTACTGCCTTCGAATGTCCGCCAACTTAACAAATATAAACATTCCACACTTAAATATAACCACGAAATACGAATTTGACAATTAATTAAGCGGTTGTACGCCAACAAATTTATTAAAAATATACTCCCGTTGAATATCACAGAAAACACACCTGCACAGACGAATAAAAAAAACAAGATTTCCTACAAACTCTTCCTCATAAAAACTTTGTACTCATTAACACTCATTTCAACATAGAAGTATGCCATGAAAAGTAAAAAATGAGAGCAACTGTATACGGCATTTAAGAGAGGAAATATATGAGGATATCGCTTCGGTGGAGTAACCGTCCATTCGGCTACACAGATCACCACTGCAGTTATACATGATAGATGATAGAGGAAGTGTTGCTGAAAACACCAAGTTCTTGCTCGGGAGATCGGAAGAGGACAAGACTATCGTAATTTGTATCTCGTCGCGCGCGACGTATCGCGGTGACAAAATTCCAAGCCAGACGATATTGGACCCCGTCCGTTTAACACTTCTATTCAAACGGCCAGGAAGGACTCGTTCATAACGCACGACGTCGCTCGCCACGCCCACCAGCGCGGCATATCACGACTGTGCAGTGGCATAAGCACTGCCGCGTCTGTAAAAGTAAACGGGTAGCCTGATATAGCGCAGGCGGCCGAGATAAGGGCAGTTCGTAGGTCGGGAATCCTCAGGGGTCGTTCGATGCTGTGTGGAGAGGTATCATAGTTGCTTTCAAGAAAAGCGTTGAACTTTTTTGATTTTTTCTCTTTCACGTGCACTATACCCCTCAACTCCTTCGACCGCAGTTTTCTGGGGCAAAGTGGAGAACTTCCCGAAAAAAATGAGCGGTATAGTGTATGGAAGTTGGGGAAATTGGCAAGTGGAAAGCAGATGGGAGGGGGGTCGTACCAGAGGAAAAATTTTGAAAGGGCGTATTTAGGAAAATTGTTCCCCAACGGCAGGACGCGCCTTGGCCTAGATCACTGTACCTCAAGCACTACTTACTCGAGTAGCAGTCGAAAGAGGCCACGTGGTGGCGCGTCTGAGTCTCATCCTTTCCCTCAACAGCGTGCAAACCGCCTCTCAGCCTCACCTTGGGAAGCAACAGGAGCCTGTGCATACTCGCGCCGTCGCGGGGCGAAATACAGTGACGGCTATTTGTCACAACCTGACAACAGCCTTTTGTTTTCCGTCGTGTTTCGGGGCTTTAGCAAAGGCTAATCTCTTTGTTGGGCGCCTCAGATTATCTTCAGGAGGGGAACTATACAGCTTTTTGTTAAATACAAGAAAACTTACAAGCTTTCCCGAAAACTTTACGGATGAAGAGCATACAACGTAATAAGCGATAAAGAGTGCTAACACAGAACCTGTGCCGTCCTTCAAACAAAGGGAAAATAAGCTGAAATGGTCAATACTATTACACAACAACGTGACACAATCACAAATAAGGTCGTAACCGTTATTTAGATAAGGAAAGCACATTGAGAAATGCTTTAATTCTGCTTAAATCCCTATCTCGAGCCCACACTTTTTGATATACCACCATTCTAAATTTGAATGCACTATGAATACGAAGAGTTTATTTATTGATTTAGTGGACGTGCAATATCACATAAACAATAAATCAACTATTAACTCAACTAAATACTTCTGATGTAGCTTCCCACCCTACAACCAACTGTGAACAAAAGTTAAATGGCCATGTTTCACTTCGATATCTACTGTTTATTCACAGCATTACGTTACAAGCGCCACTTGCTACACTCGCATCTCAGTGAGTAAAGGGATGAGGGTGACCTACAAATTCGATCTCCGTCTAACCCACCCCCCCCTAAGCTGAGACTGAATCAAGGAAGGGCATAAGAAAATGCAGCAGCTACGATAAGCAGATGTACTACACTGTTTAGTAAGGTGCTATGCAATCATAGGATGAACTGGACCACCAGCGAGCTCGGTGAAACAAGTCAACGGTGAAACACGTCAGCGGTACTTCTGCTTAAATTATATTCATCCCATTTTCGCGCAAAGGGTCATTCAAATGCCCCTACCCCACCCAAGTGCCATCAACGCCGGTTATTTTCATGGCAACAGAAATGAAACGGACAACAAGCTAATACAAAAATGTGCCTACCTTGTATTAGTGATGTGAAGGAACCAAACAACTGGTACTTTGTAGTCTGGGAGCAACAATAGTGCTGGTCTGAAAGAGTTCTATGAGATTGCAGTTGCCAGGTCCTTACGAGGGATCAAGAAAATGCTTCAACGTAGTATCGGGAGAGGCGGCGTGCTGCAGCGCCACTATATCCCCTTCTCTCTCTGGAACTAAAACCGAGCAGAGTGCAGAGGACCATAATGCGCGCAGCCTAGGCTCTTATAGCTGATATAGCCTTCCGCAGCTAGCCCCTCCCTCGAACTGCGTCAGCGCTCAAAGGAGTTCCAAACTTTCAAATACCCACATTGCTGCCAGCAGTATAGACTTTTCATGAACTTGAAAAGAAAATAGGAAGAAAGCTAGCGAGGTGATGAATAAGCTCGACATGAAATTCTTTGTAGTTGGTCGCAGAAACAATAATAACAATGAAGGGCTAGAGACTAGAAGAACGGATAAAGCACTGAAAGTAAGCAATTGTAAGGCAGCGTTCAGACTTCGCGACGGCCGTGCTCGGCCGCGCGTTTAACGCGATCGATGCGCATGCTCTCGGATCGCATCGAACGCGCGCAAGCGCTGCCGTCGCGAAGTCTGAACGCTGTCTAAGGCTGCGTTCATATTTTGCGTGAGCGTTTCCAGTGACTGCCTGTGAAAGCTCAAAACTACGTGCGAAACGCCAAAACCCTCTTGTACGCTCAGAAGGCTCGAAATCTGACGCAAAGTTTAAACGCACTCCAACACCTTCTGCGGCAATCCAACCAAAACGGTTTAAAAAGTGGTGGGTCAATAAAAAACCCACCTAATTTTTATTTGCGCATCCACAGAGAAATAAGTATTCATGCGCAAAATGAAAGAAAATGCGCACCACACGCTGGCGACCTTGTCCTACAAAAACAGAGGTGAGAATTCGTGAATCTTTCAATTAGCTGTACAGGAGTTAGAAAAGAGGATTGTAGAACTACCACTCATCCCGTGGATTACCCATCCTCTACTCAAAAAAAAGAATACCTCATAAAGCCCTCGATAGAAAGGAAAGACTCGTCCAATCACAGCTAGAACACTCTGAGATCCTTCACATATAAATGGTAACCAAATAATTGAAAATGTTAGCACAACAGTGGCGGCCACCTTCAGCAGTAAAATAACACTAAAAAACTCATCTAGTACCATCATTGTAACATCGTGAGAGCTGCAAACAACAAAATTTCTTGAATAGGAACCTATCGAAACAATTCGTCCAAATAGGTCTCTTCAGACTCCTCGAAAGAATGAAGGTGAAGATAGGAAGCGCGTGGTAGAGTTCCATCTGCTTGTAATTCAACGCCAGCACAAAGGACACAGAACCAACCAGAAACTTTCGGTTTATGAGAAAAAGGAATGAGATGAGGAATAACCCCAGTGAAACACTATTGTATCTGGAAAAATATTTTTTTGATGAAGAATTAAAATAAGAAAATCGCATAGAGACAGAATGATAAAGTATTGGCATTGAACATTCCCTTCATGGGAAGCGGCACGCATTCTTCTTCCATTTAAAATCGTAGTGACTTATTGAATGCGATGTACCTATGCAAGGACTTGCGGGGCCAACCGATTCACAGGTCCGTGTGTTTCTTTGAACACGAATCTGGTATCAATTCATCGTTCCCGGAGGGTAAGAGACTTGGTTGCCCACGCCGGAGTCGGTCCCAAATGTGACTCCCGGACTGCGCGCGCGGTAAGCGTGCCACTTGCCGCTATGCGACCTCCACCTCATGACATATCACGACGTGCATTGCGGCATTTCAATGATAGAACAGAATTAAATTTTCATCTTTTCTACGGGGGGACTTCACGCGTTGAACTCAGGTTCCTCCCCTCTGACACGCCTCCTCCGCAGTGATCGCAGTTTTCACGATACCCTACCACTCCATCCCTACGGAATTTCCGCACCTTCTACGGTATAGTAGATCTCATACTATACGGGTTACCATGAGGAGCACTCGGCACTTCTTGAAATCCGATAACAACCCCTCCCCTACCAATTGACAAGGGTTTTATGAAAGAGTTCAATGTGAAAGAATTTGAAGACACAGTCCGTGATTATCTTATGCGTGGAATTTTTTCCATGAAGCCCAGGTTCTGTTCACAGCGGTCGTCCCTCTCATTTCCTTTCACCACGCACTGAAGCGGTACCGCTTCGCTTGTTGGTGCACTCCCTCACAATTTCGTCTTCTGCTTCCCTTTTGCGTTCTCTCTCTCTCTCCATGCTCCTACAACTCTTAGATCCGACAGGGCCCTATTTAGGGCGTTAACAGCAGACTTCTAGCGTTTTTTTCCTCATTGGTAAGTCAACCACCACAGTCCTTTTTATTCTGAATCAAACTACGCACGATCTGCAGAAAAGGACAGCGTTTTTCAAACACTGTTAGTTTAAAGCAGAGTGAGCGTCATTCCACATCAGTTCCAATTACAAAGGTTAATAACGGACGAAATGGCAGACGGCAAAGAATTTCGAAAAAAGGACTTACTGGAAATGGCCATTGTCTATTGCAAGTATACCTGGATAAAGCATGCTCAGCGCCAGTAACGAGTTCTGGAAGTGAACTGTTTATGAGCAACATAAGAGTCACTTAACAAACAACCAACAGTCCACACATCCTTTGCCTTCACTTCGTAGTAAACATAGTAAATCAGAGCTGGTACATATATCAATTGGAATGGTAGAATAGCCGTAACGCGCATGAACATTTTGTGAAAGTAGTCCTGAATTCCTCTAGAGGAATGAAGTGCAACCCAGGCGGGATTCAGGTAATCTGCTCTGAAAAAGCGTGGATTTCAAATGGAGTTAATAGTACATCAAGTACTGCAGAGGGCGCAGTTTGCCTTGGGGGGGGGGGAAGAGCATTTTGCACTTTCGCTACTTCCCGTTGTCTTGTTGTCTTTCAAGAGTTAGCAGGTATCCTTCACAGTTGCGAAGTAGTTTCTATAAACTTTAACAACTTTCACTTACGTTATCCTTATTTATTGATTTACTTCGCAGATTATGCAGATCTCTACATGATGGCCTGACAATGGATAGTAGAGAAAATGCAAAACAACCCCTCCCCTACCCCGTACCGCCCCAGGGCGAACTGCGCCTGCACACTTCTAAACAAAAAAAACACATGAAGAGCTTTAGCAACTGGTTCACAAAACTCACACTAGACCCATGAAATAACTATGATAGGCTGTGAGAGGTGGATAATCAAGACCCCAGTACAGAAGATCGTTATCAGTGCCATTTACATACCTTCAAGGAAGTTACTTAATGCTGCTTGTGAAAAAAAATATTATAAGAAAACCGAAAATTTCATTTTTAGTCTCATGGATTACTTTTAACGAGAATATCTTCATCTTCAAACAAACCATTGTTTTGATGGGAGGTGCACCGTCACTTCCATCCAATGCCTTTGAGCTTCAAAGTCGCCATACATTGGTGGCTTGCCCTCGCCTGCAAGATGAAACAGATGAAATGCCCAAGTTCGGAAAGCTGCAAGATGTTTTTCTATTTTGTGCCCTGCATTCCATTTCGTTTTGAAGAGATACAAATCGAAAGGACCTGAATTCTGGACAGCACAAGAAGGCGGGCAAAAGTCAGACCTCGGACGGGAACAACCCGCATCTCTTGCTTAGCGAGCGGTGCGGGTTCGAGTTCCATCTGAGGCCCTGACCCTTGCCTTTACTCAGCGTTCTTGTCATAGCTTTCCGAGCGCGCACAAAGCGTTATACAGCAGTTGTCATAACAAAACAGCTGGAAAGTCGTTGAGCAGCGTTCAGACTTCGAAACTTAGCGCTCGTGGACACGCTGCTATTGCCTTCAGTGCCATGGACGAGTATCGATCGGCGCCGGCGGCTAGTGCTTTGAGAGAGTATAGACGAACAGGGGGGGGGTACCAGACTGATTGGGCAACGAATACCCTCCTGGTCACCCACATCCTCACGAAGCAGTAACAGTCGGCGCCGATCGGCACCCGTAGCATTAGCGGGTGGCGGGTAAGCGCGCGTCATCGCGAGGTCTGAACGTTCAACGAAGAAGGAATTAAATGTGTGACTTGTCGCCATAAGTTCATTGTGAAATGAATTAAAGAGAACAGCTTTTCACGGGTGAGATATGTGGGATCTCTGAGACCAGCAAATCTGGCATGTTTCCAATCAGAAACAAAGAAAAACAAATATTGGGGAAAGGAATAACCAATCCAAAGACCAAATCCTTAGAACGAGAAGGGAGAGGAATCCAAGCTCCTTCTGCCTCATCAATCTAGACCTAGACGACGAATTGTACCTGAGCGACATATCTTAGAAACTGAACACTGTTTATGAGATTAAGTAGAGATCAACGTACCCAAGAACCGCAGCAAAAACCGGAGAGCATTTCTTAAGAGCGCGTTCGGACTTAGCGATCGCGCGATTGGAAGGCTGCACTGGACAGGGCACAGCATTCGATGGGGATTTTGGTCGAGCTTTTACGACCCCCCCCCTTTTTTTCAGGGGCTGGTACGACCCCCCCCCCATGCTCGTACGATGTACGTCGCATGCTTACTACCTGGATTGGCTGACTGTGGTTGTGGTTTATACTCGGCGAAAAAGTTGTCGAGGGGGGGTATGTAGTAAGCATGCGACGTATAGTACCTATAACACAGAAAATTCATAAAACTCATGAAGTGAACCACGTAACTCCTAGCCAGAAATACGACCCCCCCTCCCAACAATGAGCAA